TGGGGTGTTATAATATGCACTTGTGATACATGTGATATGATATGAAATATATGGTTACACATACACATGGTATGTGACAGAAGAGAAAGAACAAGTGATATGAAAAGTATACATGATAATGCCCATGTTATATGATATGAGAGTTAGGGGTATAGTTGGCATGCCAAGAGTCGAGGGTATATTAGTCATTCGGGACGTATCCAGTGGTCCTTCGGGACGTATCCAATGGTCCTTCAGGACGTATCTAGTGGTCCTTCAGGACATAGTGGTCATTCGGGACGAATACTGAACAAATGTTCGGTGCCCCATGAGGGAATTTATACAAGCTGTGGTGACAGCATTAGTGCACAACCTCAATGTAGTACTCACATACCTTAAGTTCTCACAGGTGTATATGGGCTAATAAAAAGATAATAATAAATTTAATACATATGATGCATATGCTTTTGGTGATATGGAATATGTTCCATGAATTATATGATATTATATATTTTTAGTTGTGAAATGATAAATGTGTTATATGATATACAGAAATGATAAATACAATATCATATGATAAATAGAGTTTTCGATAATGATGGTATATGTACATGTATGTATTTTGATATATAAAATGTACTATGATTTCTATTATATATTTTATATGCCTCACTAAGTCAACGACTTAGTGTGTGATTGTTTCACACGTAGGTACCAAGAAGATGAAGAATGATAAAAGTTAAGCAAGAAAGATCAGTTCCTCCTTTCCAAAGATCATATCAGAAAAGTATTGTATAATAAGTATTTTATAATATGGATGGTAGTTGGCATGTAAATAAAGATTTGAATTTGATATGCTCTAATTAGTCTTTCTAAAATTATATGAATATCTTTTATGTAATTTAGTCAGTTATTTTTAAAAAAAAATTAAAATTATTCACTAATTTGTATAAGTACCGGTTTTGAAAAGTCAATGTGACGTCTCGAATTCGTATTCGGGTCGGATACGGATTGGAGGTGTTACATGCATTGCCACATAAATCTTCTTGAAGATGCAAAGGCAATCTTCAGCCCACATACATCAAAAAGAACTTCTGCAAATAGCTTATATCTCCTTTTGGTGACTGCATTCAACAAACAATTGCATTAATAAAAAATGCAATTAGTAAGAAACATCAACTAATTCGAAAGAACCAATCTTCACATTACCTAACAAATTAATCAGCTACGCTGTATTGAATTTTACCCACCTAAAGCAAGAAAAAAAAATGCCTTTATAAACTAAACTGGCAACTCAAAAGTCTAAACTCTTCCTGCTGTATTACCTACTTCTTAAAGTTCTCTCGGCAATAATATAAAAGGAAAAAAATAAAACTTTGGGGGGGATTATAACCTGTACGGATTGTTGGTAAATAAGGAAGTTTGATGGCATTTCCATGCATGGGTTTGGGTCATTTCTTCTTCCTCTTCTTGATGTTCTTCAGAATCTTGAGAAGGATGTTGAAAACTGAAGCTTTCATCTTCATAGTCATCATCTTGTTCTACGACTTGTTCTTTGTTGATGCCTTTGTCTCGTCACTCTTTCCCACTCTTTTCGTGTTCACTTTTTCTTTCCCCGACGCCAAGCAAACAGCATAAAACTCATCCATGGAATCAACAATATTAACAAATGAAAGCCTAGGTTTACAATATCAAAACCAAACACGGGAAGATAACACGATCAGCATGCCTTTCTAGCTGCTAATGTAGACAAGAATGAAATTTAAGACCAATCATTACTGTTTAAGGTTACCGTATTAAGCAGTATTTTATTTTGATGCATAGAGAAACATGTTAACTGTCAACTACCACGTTTACTGAAGCACTCTCACTATATATAGAATATTAACTAATTTTAAGGAGTTCCCTAAGGGTACTCATTAGCAGAATCCATTCATATATTGAAATAACGTTACCTTTTTTTAATCGCATTTGATTTTCTTTTCAAATGTTTTTTGTGGTAGTTAATTTTCTATATTCATTTGTTCTGTTTATGTGCATGTTGCTACTTTCTGCTTGATTCTCTTTTAAAACTTAACCCTTTCCCCCTTCTATTTCTGCTAGTGTTTCCTCATCAGACCTTGTCTCGAAGTGGATGGGAGAAAGTGAAAAGCTGGTTTCAAACCTTTTTCAGATGGCTCGTGATACTTGATAGTGCCCCTTCCATTATATTCATTGATGAAATAGATTCCTTGTGTGGTCAACGAGGTGAGGGAAATGAGAGTGAAGCATCAAGACGTATCAAAACTGAATTTCTTGTACAGATGCAGGTATTTGTCAGTGGGTGAATGTGCTAAGAATATTTTAAGATTGCTTTGTCCAAGGATTTTCAAGATATTGTTTTCACATGAATTATTTTCTTACAATCTCTGAACGATTTTCAAAAATCTTCAGGACTTGGTGTAAATTCTTCGGTCTTTAATTTTTATTACACAGTGCACATATTTAATTTATGCCTGCTCTATATTTCGACAAGTAGATGTTTGTTTCCATCCAAGTTTTCAAGCTAATTGAATGCCGTTTATTTTCATGTTTTAGGGTATCGGAAATAATGATAAGAAAGTCCTAGTGCTTGCAGCAACAAATACTCCCTATGCACTTGATCAGGTGAAGGATAATATCAGCATATATTCATCTTGAATCCGCCACCGTTTCGATAAGCGTATTTACATTCCTCTCCCTGATTTGAAGGCTCGGCAACATATGTTCAAGGTACTAGACCTTATCACTGATTTGAAGGCTCGGTTGTTTTCTTGTTTTGTCTTTGTCACTATAAAATCATTCAATTACTTTTGTTTCTTTGACATGGTTTCCTTGTTTTGGTACAATAAACTGCAACAGGTGCATTTAGGTGATACTCCTCGCAACTTGGCTGAAAGTGATTTTGAAAGCTTAGCTCGGCGAACATAGGGGTTTTCAGGGTCAGATATATCTGTTTGTGTAAGTGCAAAATCTGCCAGATGCTTAATCATTCTCTCTTATTCTCCTTTCTCCAAATTCTCTCTTAGAAGTGAATCTTAATATGAAGGGCCAATATTAGCTCACTTGTGCTTTATGTCTTGACAGGTTAATGATGTTCTTTTTGAACCTGTTCGTAAAACCCAAGATCATGCAATGTTTTTCTACAAGACGCCTAATGATATGTGGATGCCATGTGGACCAAAGCAACCGGGTGCTGTCCAAATTACCATACAGGAATTGGCAACCAAAGGACTTGCAGCACAGGTATGGAGTTGCTTGAGAAACTATTTATGAGTTATTCTTACATCTGGGTCTCTTTGTTTCCTATATACTTTTGGGATTCATCAATTTTTTGATTTACTTAACATGGAAAAGAAAATCAAAATAAAGAAACAATTTCCATAGGGTATTCAAAGAACATCACTGAAATAGTAAATTAGTAATTATTATTCTTTCATGCAATAAATCTATCATTTAATGATGATTGAAGTAATTAAAATTGTTTTCATTGATTAATAATTGTGTAGATCCTTCCGCCTCCTATTTCAAGGTCAGATTTTGAAAAGGTGCTTGCAAGACAGAAGCCAACGGTGAGCAAAGCTGATCTTGAGGTCCATGAAAGATTCACAAATGAGTTTGGAGAAGAGGGTTGATGGCTTTGATGAAATCATAACATTGATCTACTCTCCAGTTGTGTATGCAATCACTGTAATTTGTATTTTATTAATAACCGCTTGATCATCCAAGGAATCGTCGGGGAAGGTGACTCAACTTCCCCTTTCCTGTATTCAGATGCAAAGGACGTTTCGTTCGACACGTTCATTGCTTGTCTTTTTTACTTTACAAAGAACATTTGGCTTTAAATACTTGAATATAACTTGTGCCCCTTTTCATCTAAACTTGATGGCATGTGTTTTTTAAATGATTTTGAACTTTCAGGTATCGTTTGGAGCATTGGCTATTGCTGCCTACCGGTTAGGTGTATGTGTGGTTTGGAGGGAAAGGAAACTAGTTATTTCATTTTGTTGGTTGTTGTGTCTCTGTGTGTGTGTGGGGGGGGGGGGATAATGGCTTTGGGTAAATTTAATATATTTTAGCATTCTAATATATGGTCTCATGGTACTGCCCAACGCCAATGGGATTTGGTCTTTGGTCACGAAATGTATATGAAATGTCTTATTATATAACTAAATTCTCAATAGAGAAAAACCCTTCAAAACCGTATGCGTGAGAACTAAGTAGTCTCGAGCTTGCTTCGTGTATTTGAATTGAAGGTTCCATTACCTAATACATTGCCCATTGGTTCAATTTATCACAAATATATTTCTGTGTGTAAAATTATCATTGGATATCACATTTAAATACTTTTTAGTTTGGGTTTAACTATTCAGTTTTGTCTTTGCTAATTTAATTTACTTGAGCGTTTACCTTGTGTGCACTACTTAATTGTTACTTATCTTTCGGTTAACAAAATAAACAATCTAATTAACAATGAGGTGTGGTGTTTAGTGTTTACCTTTTCTTGGTAGCACACGTGATAAAGAAATTAACCTATATTTTCATGATGATTGAACTTGTTTTGTAAAAAAAAAATCTTCTAATTGTTATTATCCGTTCAATTTACCAATTTTATCAATCTTATATTTCTATATAAAATAGAGTGTAGTTTAAAAAATATATAATTGTTGGGATTTAAAGTTAAGTTTATATTATATTTTTTTATTAGTTGTGATTACAAGATAATATATATTATAAATATTTTAAATTATTTAATAATAAAAATTCAAATATTCTTAAAACATTTTTAAAAGAATAGCCTGAACCAATTATATATTAAATTAGATCTGGTTTATAAATTATAAACCCTAGTTCATTTACCTTTGAAAATTTAATGAACAAACCATTCAAGTCTCCGTTGGTTTGCAGTCTTTCGCATCTTCTCACACAAGCTTATAAAGAAAAGAGCTTTTTGACCGTTAAAAAGGACCAGGTTTTATCCTTTTACTTGTAAATCCTGTTATCTTGATCGTTTGGTCTCTTTCACCTTCTTTCTAATCGAAACTAGGGCTTTCCTTCTTTGCAAAATATACAATAAACCTTTTTATTAGCATTTTTTAGTGAAGTTTTAGAATTAGATTCGGTTTAAAAATAATTTTTTAAAAGCATCTCTGCTTTCTAGTGCCATTAGCCATACCTCGACCTTGCTTCTTCTTCGCTTCTAAAGTACTCCAAAACCCTATATTTTCATATTTTCCTTTCTGGGATTTCCAGAAAAACAAGGTAGAGGTTCCCCTTTTATGGGGTTTAGTCATTTTCCGCTATTTTTTTTCCTCACATTTTTCTGGGTTTTGTGGGGCAAGAGCCTTTATATTTAATTTTCATTCTTAGCTGTGGGTTGGTTCTTTTCCCTCGTTGAAACGCTATGAACTTTACTAGTCTTTGCCTGAGTATTAACCAAACATGATGAAACCAGAAGCAGAAATTCATAGTATTACGTGAAGTACCCAAAGGAGAGAAAAGATGATTGCTGAAAAACCAAGTTGGGTTAGTCATGAGGGAATGCAGATATTCTCCATCGATGTTCAGCCTGGTGGTCTTAGGTTTGCCACTGGTGGAGGTGACCACAAGGTAAAATTTCCTTCTTAGCACGTTATACTTCCCTTTGGCTTTGGTTTTCTACCGTTGGAAGTGATCATTGTTGCAGAGTTGGCATTTATATACTACAATGATATGAGCAGAGGTTACCTAAATATGCTGACAAATAGAATCTTCCGTTGGCGTGTTAGATTGTTTGTTACTTTTTTGTTCTTCAAATTTGACTGTTTTTGTTTCGTCTGAAAAATGCAGGTCCGGATTTGGAACCTGAAATCTGTTGGCAGGGATTTGGAAAACTATGAATCTACACAGAGGGTTCTTGCAACCTTGCGTGATCACTTTGGGTCTGTCAACTGTGTTAGGTGGGCTAAGCATGGACGTTTCGTTGCCTCCGGGTCTGATGATCAAGTAATTCTAATTCATGAGAGAAAGCCTGGTTCTGGAACCACTGAGTTCGGCACTGGGGAGCCCCCTGATGTTGAAAATTGGAAAGTTGCGATGACACTGAGGGGACATACTGCAGATGTGGTAATCATATTGTTCTTCATGTTAGGGCATTTTACCACTGATAAGAACTCAACTGTCTATCTTGTAGTTACTTTTGTTCTGCTGCATATTGAATAACTTTTCTTTGGAAAAAGCATCATATTTAACTTAAAAATTCAGTTTTCACAATATCTTTTTTGTCACTATACAAATTGCAATGCTTCACTTACGAGTTTCTGTTTATTTTGTTTTGGTGAAAAGTGAGGGGTTTGTATTGGGGGGGGGAAGTAAAGGAGAAAGAATAGGTGGTTGAAATTCCCTGCTGTAATGTCGTATGCAGCCCCCTTAATTTATTATAGTTATTTCTTATAAGCACTGGCTATCTTCTAACTTGAAAGTTCCATTTATTCTCGCTTGAAGTAGGTGGATCTTAATTGGTCTCCTGATGACTCAATGCTGGCTAGTGGGAGTTTGGACAACACCATCCATATATGGAAAATGAGCAATGGCATCTGCACAGTGGTGCTCAGGGGTCATTCTAGTCTCGTTAAAGGAGTTGCCTGGGATCCCATTGGGTCGTTCATAGCAAGTCAGTCTGATGACAAGACAGTCATAATATGGCGAACAAATGATTGGAGCCTTGCTCATAGAACAGAGGGCCATTGGGCAAAATCTGTATGTCAATTTGTGATGGTGGAACTTTTCTTTTTTCTTGAACTCTGTTTCATTCTCTGATGGAAATATGTTCTTTTCAGCTGGGATCAACATTTTTCAGGCGGCTTGGATGGTCACCTTGTGGTCATTTCATAACTACCACCCATGGTTACCAAAAGCCAAGGCATTCTGCACCTGTTCTAGAGAGAGGGGAATGGGCTGCCACGTTTGACTTCTTAGGTCACAATGCTCCAATTATTGTAGTGAAATTTAATCACTCCATGTTCAGGAGGAATTTTGCCAATTCACAGGAAGTGAAAGCTGCACCTGTCGTCTGGGCAAATGGAGCTGCTAAGATCGGTGGTAAAGAATCACAGCCATATAATGTTATTGCTATTGGAAGCCAGGACCGCACTTTAACTGTGTGGACAACTGCAAGTCCTCGACCTCTCTTTGTAGCTAAACATTTCTTTGGCCAAAGTGTTGTAGATTTATCCTGGTAAGTTTTCACTTTAGTGAATGGTATATTGTTTGTTATTTATTTGCACATTTGTTTGCTATTCTTTTATGTCATTTTTACATCTTAATAGTAACCTCTTATTCATATACAGGAGCTCTGATGGCTATTCTCTCTTTGCTTGTTCATTGGACGGGACAGTGGCTACTTTCCATTTTGAAGCAAAAGAACTTGGCCACAGGCTAAGTGATGCTGAACTTGATGAGTTAAAGAGAAGTCGCTATGGTGACGTTAGAGGTCGACAGGCTAATTTGGCGGAGAGCCCAGCACAGTTATTACTTGAAGCTGCTTCAGCCAAGCAAAGTACTAGCAAAAAAGTAGTCTCAGGTGTTCGGCAGAATTCTGTTGAGTTGGGGGTCACGAACAAAATTATTGAGCCTCAGAATTACGATGGGAAGAAGAGCGGGCTTGCTGCTAGTGATGGATTAAATAAAGCAATGAGTCCTGTGAAACAAAGAGAATACAGACGCGCTGATGGTAAGAAAAAGATCATTCCTGAAGTAGTCGGTGTGCCTATTCAGCAGGAAAATATTTGTGACAATGCTCAATCTGCTGCACTAGACTTCCCCATTGCATCTTCCTATAATAGAAAAAATGAAAAAAGTGCAGTTCCAGCTGATGGTAGTTTGAGAGAAGCTTCTGTCTGGGGAACCATTGGTAGAAGCTTGGACTTAAAGGAGCGGTCTGGGATCACTGCCAGGGCCACTGTTACTGACAGCCTGGTTATTGAGAAAGGTCCAGTCTCTGCTGGTCAAGATCATAGCATCGATGTGGAGAAGTCTGGGAGCATGAAGCCTTCAGTTTCCACTGTTTCCTCTATCACATCTCTTTCAATTAAGGTTTTTGACAAGAAAGAAGGCAAGGATATGACTCCAGTTTGCTTGGAAGCATGTCTTAGGGAACATGCTGTGAATGATGTTGCTGGTGTAGGACATGCATGTATGATGAAAGAAACAGAAATTGTTTGCACCAAAGGGTCTCAAACTCTTTGGTCTGATCGTATCTCTGGAAAAGTTTCTGTTTTAGCTGGAAATGCGAACTTCTGGGTTGTGGGATGTGAAGATGGGTGCCTTCAGGTAAGCAAGTAACAACTACATCCTAGCTAGGCAAGATTTGTATTTTCCTCTCTTTTCTGTGTCAAGGTGATGGATTATTTTTCATCTTGTGCGGTATCATACTCTCTTTTGTAGGGTTATGGTTTTCCCACGTTTTTTTTCCTTTCGTTTTGCTGGGGGTTGAGTTGTTATAAGGTTTTCTGTAGGCATTAAACCATACTAATTACAAGGGTGGGCTTTTGACTTGGGCCTTGCATGTGCATATACCTGGAAAATCTTTTGTGAGATTTCATAAATTGTTTAGTAAATATAGCCTAGTCTTTTTTTGCTCATGTTTTTGAAGGTTTATACAAAACGTGGAAGACGTGCATTACCTACCATGATGATGGGATCTGCAGCAACCTTTATAGATTGTGACGAGAGCTGGAAATTGTTATTGATCACAAGGAAAGGATCTTTGTATTTATGGGATCTCTTCAATAGGAACTGTCTCCTTCATGATTCTTTGGCATCTCTAATCAGTTTGGACTCCAGCTCATCTCCAAAAGGTTCATGTACTTGATATACTTGTCTTTGTATGATCTTGGAAGTTGGAAGACTTAATATTTTGTAGTAGTAAGTTTATGGCTTATAATTTCCTTTTCATGTGGGATGTTAGACATATTTCCTGAGACTTTTATGTCTCTTTCAGGCACAATCAAAGTTATATCTGCAAAGTTATCAAAATCGGGTTATCCTCTTATTGTTTTGGCTACTCGGCATGCGTTTCTCTTCGACATGAGTCTCATGTGTTGGCTGAGGGTTGCAGATGACTGCTTCCCTGCATCAAATTTTGCTAGTTCTTGGAGTTTGGGTTCAATTCAGACTGGTGAGCTGGCTGCTCTGCAGGTGGATGTACGAAAATATTTGGCTCGAAAGCCTGGATGGAGCAGGTTTGTCCCTATTAATATTTTGCCCTAAAATCATGAAGCCATATAAGATTTGATACATAGTATTTGTTTGCCATTTTATGTAAGTTGATGACATGAATTTCAATTATACTTATTTCGCTAAAGTTCCTTCAACGAGTTAGCTGTGTTGGTCCTATAGTTTCACTAGTAATCATGTTTTGCAATAGGGTAACTGATGATGGAGTGCAGACACGTGCTCATTTAGAGGCTCAGTTAGCATCATCTTTGGCTTTGGAATCCCCTAATGAGTATCGCCAAGGCCTTCTTTCTTACATACGCTTCCTAGCAAGGTTTTTCTCTCCCCCAACCAATTGCATTTATGAGTGATAATAGCAGAAAAATATGTATGAGGGTCATTGTAATAAAATTGGCATCTATGTAATTCTGCTGAATAATGTTCTCCATCGGGTTTTTCTCTCCCCAACCAATTGTAATACATGCTCGTGTTTGCAGAGAAGCAGATGAGTCTCGTTTGCGAGAAGTCTGTGAAAGTTTTCTCGGACCACCAACTGGGATGGGATCAGATTCCAAGAATCCTGCTTGGGATCCTTATGTGCTTGTGAGTCTTTCATCCCAACATTTGCATACTGTCTCCATTCATTTTACTGCATCTTTTTTCATCATATTCTAAAATATCTCTAGAGAATCACTTCTCTGAAAATACATTACCTGAGCCGTTCTTTTCTTGTTGTTAGATTAGTTTAAAAGTCTTGTAGAGGGTTGATGTCCTCAAATATAAATGATATAGTTTTTAAGGAATTGTTTTGACAATTTTATTGAACCGCAAATCATTTCTAGACCTGCCAATCGGTTTGCTCATGTCATAATCATATATTTCCAAGTGTCGTGTAACTATTTTCTGTTGAAAGGTGTTAGGTCCAATCCTCTTTTTGCCCCAGGAACTCCTCTGACAGTATAGTTGGATGCTTGTTTAGCTAGGGCTTTGAATATTCTGAACGTTCCTTTCTCTTAACCTAGTTGGATATTTGCAGGGAATGAGAAAGCACAAACTTTTAAGAGAGGACATTCTTCCTGCAATGGCATGCAATAGAAAAGTTCAGCGTTTACTTAATGAGTTCATGGATCTCTTCTCAGAATACGAAAGTGTCGGAAACAATCAAGACCAAAAAACACCATCTCCGTGGACTACATCTCAACCTGCGAAAGATCCAACGGGTTCTGCGCCTTCAATAGCAGATCAGGTAAACTTGGGCACCCTATCAACTGATTCAAATGAAATGAAACTCCAAGGATGCCGGTGAGTAAATGGTGAAAATCTTCAATTATGCATAGCATACTAGCTATTGGTGTTCAACATAGATTGGGGGGGTTGCACAGTTAATTTTTGGTATATTCAGCCTATGGTTGCACAGTTAATTTTTGGTATATTCAGCCTATGGGGCAGCCTGCTATAATGTATCTTTGGTTCTTATTTCTTTTTGGGTGCATGTAACTTTAGAATCTCACTTGGTTGAAAGTAAATTATGTCTCTCACCATTGATTGGAATTATTCTCTTGTAACAATTAATTGAACCTTATTATTGGCAGAATCTTACTACAACAAAACAAAATAGGCTTTAGTTAGGGTATAAATGAATAATGCGAGTCAAAATTCGATTTTTCTAATTTTAAAAGTAAAAGTAATTAAATTTTAAAATTCTGGGAAAATCTTAATTTCAAAAGTATAAATGACCTAGAATAGCACTATTTTATATAATTTAATTTTCTTTTATATTTTAAATTTCTTTTATATTTTTTATTTATAATCTATTTATGTACCCTAAAATTTTATAAATTTATTTTATCTTAAAAATATTATAAATTTACCTCCTAACATAAAATATTACGTATGTCCATATATATATATATATATATACACACGCACAAATCGTACTAAAATCCCAAATATTTTATGATTTTTGTTCTCCTTTCTATAGGTGAAAACAATAATATTTACACTAATAGTATAAATACTAATGTAACTACAACAAAGACCATGCAATGGAAAATATATTCGATAAGCATGAATCTTTCCCTTTTCTAAGACTATTACCGGTAAGCCACCTCTGACATTGGCGGTTAGACCAGGAGCGAACCTCGGTGCTTGATTTGGATTGAGAACCCGGATATTGAACCGGCTGATTATGGAAAGAATCACACATTCATTTCCTTCCCTAAACAAACCCTTTTCCCAGCTTGGAAAACCGGGTACTTGAACAGGTTTTGAGGGACATATCTGCCATTTTCCAACCATCTATCCAGGTTGTATTCGAGACAATCCGGGCCCCAAACCCGTTCCATCCGACCCATTGCATATGGATGGTAGATCACCCTTGTCCCTTTCCTCACATAGGTAAAGTCAGGCAAAATGTCATCTTCAAGAGCAAACTTTGAGTCAAATTGGATCGGTGGGAACAATCTCAAGCTTTCATGCAACGCCGCGTGTAAATAATGCATGTTTCGCAGTTGATCGAAAGTTGCAAATTGTTGTTGGTGACCATCACTCGATCCTATTACCCTTTCGAGCTCGTCTCGAATGGTCGACTCAACTTCCGGATGTTTAGATAACAACCAGAAGAAGCTCGTTAAACCTGAGGCCACTGTGTCCCGACCAGTCAAGAGGAAATTCACGACAATGTCTCTGAGATACTTGTCGTCATTGCTTCTTGTTCCCATGAATCTTGACAAAAGATCATTGCTGTCTGAAAAGCCCTTTTCCTTCCTTTGATTGATCATCTCTTGAGCTAAAGCATCCACCATTTTAATGGCTTGTTTAAGCTGTTCATCCGTGCCTAAATTCAATGCCCTTTTGGTTTTACATATCAAAGGTGAGGATGCAAGCGCTCTTTAAACCGATAATTTAGATGCTAAATCAAATGCTTCGGCGAATTCCGAAACCGGCAACGATAACTCGAGATAACCAGGGTCTAATCCGAAGGAGAATTTGCAGATATTATCGAATGAAAACCTTCGATACACGTCTTGTAAATCTAAAACTCGTTGTTCACCAGAAATCGATGACAAAAGAGGGAGAAACCTGGATTGAATCTCTGAGTTGACGATATCAAACGCGTGCCTTCTTACGGAAATGCTACCAAGTACCAAGCACAAGGCTAGCCATTTTCCTTTGAAACTTCCATGAATCACCATCGACGCTGAAAATACCTTTACCAAGAACATCCCGAGGATAGAAGCGAAAGGTTTCCCTTTCGGGTAGTTTTCAAATCTGGTTTTGAGAATGTGTTCCACATTTTCGGGGTTTGCAGTGATGGTATTGCCGAGAACATGGATGTGGATCGTTCCGTTTGCAGATTTTTCAAGGAGGTGAGTGAACCAATTACAAAGATTGTCGAATTCTTTGGTCCAACTTGAAGTGAGATAAGCCCGGTAGATTTCACAATTACACCCGACCTTCAACCTCAAAACGCAGCATCGAAAAGAAGAGGGTTAAAGAGAACATGATGCAGAAAGCAGTGCACATGGAGGAAGACCACGATTCAAGCCCTGAAACCATTGAAGAAATCGAAATAAAGAAAGCTTAACAAAGGTAATAATAGTAAATGAGATAATGAATGGAATGAAGAGAGAATGGCTTTTACATATACTACTGGGTGGGTCTATGTTTATTTTATAAAATAAATGAAATTGAGGGACTAAAAACGAAAACAAATCAACGTTTTGGTTTTATTTTAATTGCTATAGATTTTACCAAATTGTATTGTCTAGCCGTTCGACAGGCGAGAAAATGTTTGATTGTTGCATGAATTACGCGTGCGAATAATGAACAATGGGTCCGTTTACGTGCGAAAAACGACCCTTTTCATTTTCCAAGCTTTCAACCTCTCATTTAGGACTCATGTTAGCTCTCATTTGCTTTTAAAATATTATATATATTATGTAAATTTATAGGATTATTATTTCATGTATTGATAGTAGAAAAAAATTTTATAAACGAATTATATTTATTTTATTTAAGATTTGGAGTTTAATATTATATATTTTAGAATTTAAATTAAGGATTTAAAGTTTATATTTAAGATTATCTAAATATGTCAGATTATATTTAAATATATATGTTAATGAAATCTAAATTTTATATTATCTATATATCGATTTTTTAAAATTGTATATGTGTATTTATATTTATAATTTAAATATTAAATTATATTTCATATTTTTTGAAATATTTGAGTGATAATATTTCATGAGATATGTAGGTTGATATTAATTAATAGGATACATTGTGTTGTTAAAAATATTATTTAGTGTTAAAATTTTAAAAATACTCTTGCAAGGCTTTGATAGAACGGGGAATCAACAAAGAAGAATAACAAAGCACACGCTTTGGAATATCATACACAGCAAGAACAAAATAATATCTTATACATTTAATTATCAGAAAATGAAAAAAAAATAGGAGGTAGACAAGTACTTAAGTTGTTTTTAATTACTTTATTTTATGATAAAACATTAATGAATTGTGTTTTTATTCTATTAATTAGTGCATGCATAAGAATCCCCAAATAATGCAACTTTAAATTAATAAAATACATAAGCGGTGTTCAATTATTTAGTTGTAGTTAATTTGACTTCACTTACGGCTGAAATGGCTTTAAATTAATAAATTACTTCCATCTCAATTGTGTTCTTTCTAAAGTATTCATCAGTATCAGAAATGGCTTTAATTTGCTATCAATGCATGGGGCTTCGGTTAAGTTGCCACTTGTTCTCAAAATATATTGATGCCGTTATCCACCTTTCTTATAAAAGAATGTTCCAGTATTCAAATAATTGAGTTTTAGGTCTACATGCGTGATACATTTCATATACATACATTTTTAGTAAACAGATCTAATAATAATACATGTAATTTTTCAAAGATTTATATTAAAAACTCGAGGATGACTGTTAGTTGACTTGTAAGATCCATGAGGTACACTCCTGGAGAAGCTGAAACTTTTTACGAATGGCTATGTTCAAGAATATCTGCATTTTGCTGCGGAACTCAGTTGCGTCTTCTTTGCATTTATATGAGCCTGCACACCCACATTGTTCCGCTAAATGTGCCGCTTTCACCTGTCTGCACCTACAGCACACTAGATCCTGCAGATGATACAGTTTTTCTCTTTGTCGTACGATTTGCAGGAGTGCATTCTCCATCACCTCCAGGTCGTACGGCTGCCCACACTGGGGTACAGCGCAGCACCATTCATCAGCCAGTAAAGCCGAGTCCCGGCATAAATCTAGGTCTCTACAATCGTTGCAATAGCTGCCACAAGATTATGCAAAATCAGCAACAAGTTTCAAAGACGGTAACTTTTTGCTTATTCATAAGATGTCGGATAACCAAGTCGATATCAACAATGTTCTTAAGCGTGTTCAACATGTACCCTTGATAAGATTTCATGGTAAAGGGCGAGTGCAAATTCTCGTTAAGAAGATAGGATGAACCGTCTATCTAAGAAACTACAAAATTAACAGCTTTCCATCCAAAACATGAAAAACTCAAGCAACCACCCATCAACATTAACCGCTAAAAGCCTTATCTAGATGAGTGGAACAAATATAAAGATATCAAGCGTCAATTTGTATACCTGCAAATCACATTGGGTAAGATGAAAGAAGGACATGGATCATGAAACTCAGATTCTGGAGCAAACTCCTTGACGTGTGCATATTTCAGTAGATTCTTTCTTAATACCTGTATAAAGGACACATGAACAAAGCTATTACTTATTGTATGACAGTATTAATTGAGTTAATTCACACGATTAAAAACTGTAGAAGCAAGCGAATTAGCAAGGGCTGCTACCAGAACATCATGCTGAACACTGTGGTCAAGGGCCAGAACGGCACAGACATGCTTAATAAACTCTAGTGCAGCATCTCCTTTATGAGGAACCTTATGCGCAGTTTGTTGATCCACTTTTCCAGTTCCACTCAACCCTTTCATATTAAGCATAATATCACGAACAATTCCTAGAAGTTTTTCTGTGAAGTAGGAGCTAATCTGTAGAGCATGCACACAAATTAATCTAATTGAGAAACTACAAGAAACAAGTCAAGGCATTAAACAACGTTTGACCACTATATTCCCAACTCAAACCTGATCTTTGAGATATTTTACAATATGGGCTTCAAAACTCTCGGCAGCTGTAATAGTGATTGATGGAGTACATAAGCTGCCATCCAGTGAAGATGTTCTGTTTGCAGCTTGCTCCTGTGCATATTTCCAGGGAGTATGCAAAAACTCGGACGCAATTAAAACAAAATGGTCCTGCCAAAAGTCCACATGATAATCAAGTGAAGTACAAAATGCAACAGAGGTTTGTATGGCATTGTTGACACGGAGAAAGTGAACTCAATTGTATTATAATTTTGATATTCCTATACTCGATATAATAAGATGGAGGGGAAAGGGGTACAGAATCTAGCATACCTGAATCTTCTCAGGTAAATACCGAGCAATATTCCAGTTTGAAACAATATCCACTTCTGAATTTTCTTCTGAATTTTCATGAGATCCAGCCAAGATTCCTCCATGGTTATACTATCAAAGGCAAAGCAACATCGTCATAAATTTACATGAATGAGTAGACAGAAAAACATAAAATATCTCCAGTTCTAGACTATTTATGCAAATATGATTCAAAAGCACTTGAACCATTTCATTAGTCAGTTTTTCAATTCCAGAACTTGGGATCACGTTGGGAAAGTAAAGCAATACAACTGAAGGCATCAGAAATACAGCAAATGATGAGCAATGCTAGTGGAGAATTCACACTAATCAGGTTCAGAGACTATCAAGATTGGTAATTACAGCAAATGATGAGCAATGCAAGTTATAAGACAACTACATCATCCAATAGCCTATTACTTTGAGATCAGATTGGTAATTTCCAAAAAGTAGAAAATACAGGTACAACAAATAAAATCTAGTGGAGAATTCACACTAATCAGGTTCAGAGACTATCAAGACATTGAAATTTTATCAAGCTATATTCTCAAGATATAATTTCTAAAAGAGTAGTTCTAATCGTACATACATCATCCAATAGCCTATTACTTTGAGATCAGATTGGTAATTTCCAAAAAGTAGAAAATACAGGTACAACAAATAAAATCTAGTGGAGAATTCACACTAATCAGGTTCAGAGACTATCAAGACATTGAAATTTTATCAAGGCTATATTCTCAAGATATAATTTCTAAAAGAGTAGTTCTAATCGTACATTATTACAGCATACAGCGATCATGTATGCTGTAACAAATTACTGAACCATTAGAAGAAATAATACCTGATCCATAAATAGCAAGGAATGCCAGAAGTGAATCGGCTCAAGCTCAATCCATTCAAATAACTCTCTACCAATCCACAGAAAAAATTAAATATATAAATACACGTACCAAAAAAATTTAAAAATTGAAGTCTAGTCGGAAGTTTCTAGTCAAACACCAACCTATTCTGCAGAGCTTTAAGCAAGCTATCACAATAAGCTTTAGCTGCTGTCATATCATATTTTCCTGTGTCAATGATAACCTTTGAGAAGTCTGCAAATATGATTGTCGCACCCAATTTGCGGAATTCAGACAACAGCAAAGCAAACACCTTTTGCATGACCTGCACGTGTTAGAAACAAAGCAGACATTTATGAAGAACAAAATCACAAACTAGAAGAATTACCACATGTTTCCAAGAATAACAATCACAAAGCAGTTATGAAGAGCAGAATCACAAACCAAAAGAATTACCACGTTTTCCCAAGAATAACTATCACAAAGCAGTTATGAATAGGTGATAAATAAAGTAGATTTTAATTGTAACAAACTCATCGCTGCTTAAGGCCTAACTGGGGGGGGGGGAATAAGGAGCTTATTCATAAAAAATCGCTTCAAATTAATATTACTTTTGTAAGAAAATTTACAAAGCACTTGATCAAGCACACAGAAACCAAGATTATCAGGCGAGAGTGACATTTTAGTCCAATTTTCCCACAAGTAAATATTTTACCGATGAACACAGATTTCTCAGTATCCAAATGGTACATACCTTGTGTAGTATGCGGTGAAGAGCTGGATCATGAAGCTTTGACTGAGGGCTGTATGGAATGAAAAATATATTGTCATCTGAAACGCTGGTGAAAGAAAAATGAAGGGGGTGGGGATAAGAAACTACCTGCAAAGCCACCGATATAGATGTTGCAGTATTGCATCAGCAAACACATTTCCCGAGGAAACTGCATCGGCAAGGCACCTTTGTATAAGTTGTTTCATGACTCGAAATGCAGCTGCAGATGCGGTAGCCTCATCAAAACCACACTGATCATTTCCAGAATGCATATCTTGGTCAAATCCTAATAAAGCTCCTCCTTCCATTTCATTCACTTGGTTGCTTTTAAGAAGAGCATCTACAGCCAGGTTATGAATCTGAACACAGACAATAAACTTGCTTATTTACAATCACCTTGATTAACAACTAGACCACCCTACTAACAAGGTGCAACATATATGAAAAAGAAAAGAAGCAAACAGTACAGATATTATGGACCTTTAGCTCCACAGAAACTTTTCGATACGCTCCAGGGTATGTGATAACAGGTTGACAGACCTATTTGAAAGTAGCCAAAAAGTAAGTTTACTGTATAAAATCGGCAGTCCAACCACTACCCCCCACAAAAAAAATAATTAATTAATTAATATAAGGCAAAGATTATGACCCTGCTACACGTCTAAACATGAGTCAAACTAACCTCATCAGCAAAGCATGTATCTTCTTCACCGATGCCTCCTAGGTCAGGAACACCATCATCAGAAATCCAAAGTACCTAAGAAATAAATATTTGATTTTGTTTCGATGAGAGAACTATAATGAAACATGCAAATTACAAAAAGACACGATTAAAAAATGGAAAAGGCTTTGGTTTGCCTAAGACATTAACCAGTAATCTTATCAAAATTCAGTAGAAACAAAATTCCGTGATATTAACATTTAAACTATCAAGAGCACCCATAGAAAAACCTGTTGCTGATCACGCAAAGCCCTAGAATAGAAAACATCTGCTGTATATAATAGCCAATCAGGTTCAAAATTGCCCAAGGGTACCTGTCCAATTATATTTAAAACATTAGTGCCCAGGTTAACAAGCAGGAATATTTAAAAATAGGTAAGGTAGACATGGAGGTAAAAGTATTACATGCGCATATCTTGAGAGAGAGATCCTCTCACTTAACCACTGAGATGATGCAGAACACCGCTGCATTGCAATTTTTGCAGCAGTTTGTTGCCATACAAGAAGCTTGATCACAAAAATTCAGCAAAAAATGTGTTTAGACATTGACAATGTCACACTGCATTAGTAAAAGCAAAGAAAAATAAGCAAATCAAATAGATATTCAACCACAGCTCAGCTACCTGATAATCATTATCACGAGCATTTGAAGGTATGCTCACACAAGGGAAATCTTCTAAAGCTCGTACACCTGACTTCATGATTTGAGTATTTGGGCATTCAATGACCGCAAGAATAGGACCTTGATGTTCATGCCTATCATGAAACATAGTAGTTCATTGATGCAGGCTCGTTTAAACAAAGAAATAATGAAAACCAGAAAATGATTGTACACAAGACAATAACCTCTTAGCTAGACAAGCGGTTAGTCATGGAAAATGCTCAAATTACTTGTCACAATCTTTTTTCCCTTTTTAACCAATGTCCTAAGGTGGCGTTTGGTTAGCTGGAATATTTATGAGGGAATTGGAATCTGTGAAGGAATTGGAATCTGTCAGGAATTGGAATCCAATTTCATATTCTGTTTGATTCGCAGACATGTCGGATGAATTTGATTTCAGTAATATAAAATGACAAAATTGCCTTTCTTGTTTTTTTGCTTTATTTTAGTTTGTTTTACAACTTACATGTAGTAATATATTATAAAAAATATTAAATTTTCATTTTATTGATTGATTATTCATTTCAATAAATTATAAAATAAATTATAAAAATCATGCTTATAAACATCATAAGTTAAAATCATCGCAATCAAAATATGTTAATAAGTTACCAAAAGATATAGTAATATTTCGATACATTCCAATCGGAGTATGTTAATTAGTTACCAAAACATATACCAAAAACTATTTTTATTCAATATATGAATTAGAAAACTGACCCGACACGACACAAAATAATAAAAAAAATATTTTTATTCAATAAAAACATTGACTTAATTGAAAAAAATTATATATAGAGGGGTATTATTGTAATTATTCCTAAATATATAAGGTAAAATTATATATTTTTTCGGGTCGGTCCGGTTTTTTTCACCCTAAACCCTAACCAGACCCGAATATCACACTTAAAAAAACTCGACTCGACCCGACCCGAATATATGAATTAGAAATCCGACCCGACCCAACCCAAAATAATAAAAAATATTTTTATTCAATAAAAACAGTAACTTAATTGAAAATATATATATATATAAAAAGGGGTATTATTGTAATTATTCCTAAATATACAAGATAAAATTATATATATTTTCGGGTCGGGTATTTTTCACCCTAAACCCGAACTCGACCCGACCCGAATATCACACTTAAAAAAACCGACCTGACCTGACCAAAATAAAGTTTCACCCGACCAGACCCGAATATATGAATTAGAAACCCGACCCGAAATAATAAAAAAATATTTTTATTCAATATATGAACAAGTTACCAAAAGATTGATGAGGGTAGTATGGTCAAATTTTAATTCCCTCCAACAAGGGAATTGAAGTCCATCCAACTTTCCCTCATTTGCGGAAAGTTGAAGCCATGAGAGATTCCAATTCCCTTGGAAAACTTGAACTAAACATGGGAAAGTGGTGGAATTGGATTCCAATTACCCCCAATTCCAAGGGATTCCATCCAACCAAACGCCACCTAAAAGTTAGGAAGGTAAAAAGTATAGAGAAGACTTATAGGATCATAAAGATGAATTAGCTTTGTAGTTGCATTGTTTTTTAACTTTCAGCTTTGTGTTTGAACAAAAGAGATGCTAGATTCCCTAACAAAATCTCAATTCCACCAGATTCCATAATAAATGGTCAAATTCTAAAATATCCTTTAATAGCTTGATGTTACAAAAGAAAGTTAGAGTTTATATCGACTTCCAATTCCTGCTATCCCTGGAAAATTTCAGATGTAGCTACTATAGTAAAGACAGTTATATATATATATACATACATACATCAGAACAAGCCTCCAGGAGAAAATAATTAAAAATCAAATTGTAATAATTGTGAAAAATCATAGATAAAATATAATTAGTTTGAAGCAATACCTGTGTTCACTTATAGCTCTCTGTAAATTTTTTTCAGCTTCCTTGACATGTTCAACATAGTTCACCTGAGATAAGTAAATACAAGAATAACATAAATATAAGAGACAAAATAACCAGGAAATAAAAGCTACGGTAAGAAAATACAAACTTGCCTTTAAAGAAATACCATTACGAACTGGTGGTTCAATAGACAAAGCCTGGCAAGCTTCACGAAAATATTTCTCGAGGATATGTGGAGATAGACTTTCATTTTCATGGTGAGGATTAACTACTACCACATACACTGCTCCTGATGAAGAAAAATAGGCAGCATATATGGCACGGCCTTCACAAATACTGAAGAAGCAAAATCAACAATGTAAGACAACAAGCAGAATGAAAAAGAAGCTCTAGAAGTTTTGGTATTGAATTTTCTTAATTAAAAGGTTCAGCTATAGTCTATCCAAAATCATAGAATAAAGAAATATAGAATTGAAAAGTTGGTAAGAGTCTGCATATCCAAAACATAAGTGCATACACAAAGGTGCAGGTATATTCATTATTGCAAATTTTCTCTATTTGAAAAAATAGGTACTTTACTACAAGGAATAAATATGTTGTGCAGATCACAACAATAGGGATATATGTGGTCTGACAAGAAATTGTTTGGCACCAAGACTTGATAACATAATGTATAAAATCTATAATTTCTACTGCTTTAGCTCATACATTATTAATGTACCTCTAGATGGTAGAACATCTAAAAAATTTAAATTTCAAAATAGCAGTGAATTTCATGCTTTCTGAATTAAGTAAAATTAACTACGCATGTTGCGGTCAACGTCAAACTACTAAATCAACATTTCCTCTTATTATAATAAAGCCTCATTTTAAGAAAAAACAAACTGTAATTACCTATGATACAGGTAAAAGAAAGAGATTGCCTGCTCCAGATAAGCACATTCTGTTGTAGTCTTCATATGCAATTCACTCAGACTCCAGCCATCCTGGGCATTTCGTTTCTTGGTGGCTTTATCTACTTTGCAAACACAGCCAAGCTGAAGAATAGCATTAAACTCCAGTGGAATCTTCCTTTCATAAATCCCCTGATCAAAGAAATGAATTCTAATCAACTAGAAATAAAGATAGTAAAGCCATTTAACTAGGGATCCGACAAACGTACAAGACATTATAAGAGTACATACAAAATTCAAGCAACAACTAGCTCATTGTTGGTTCAGTTTTATGACGTTTCAAGGGTAAAAGTACAAAACCACAATATGCAAAAGTATTATTATTTGCATTCAATCCTTCTCTCAGATGAAGTTTCAAAGTAGAAAGCTCGTTGTGCATGTCATTTATTGGTTCTATGCAACTCAGACAACTGATAAACAAAGTCATAACCTACGGCACTTTTCCATCAAGACTTGGAAATTAATTGAGAAACAACTTCGCTCATTATGTATCAGAAAAGAAACAAAAGGGAGCTATCAAAGTGTTCTAAGAATCTCTTTGCCTAACAAAAAGTTCCATTTGTAATTATTTGATTAGACAGGAAATTGCTGACATACCTTAATGGGCCTTCTGTCAAAATCACAGTGCTAGACGTTGGTAGATAAAATTCTTTAATCTATTGTATTGCAGTTCATTGCTAACTAGATTCTTTATAGTAACATACTCATCAATGCAAATTACTCTTTAAGTTTACCATAGCCTAGTTGAACATATAAACATATAGTGTCTGATAACCAACAAGGTATTAACAAGGGAATGAGCAATATTATCAAAGGAACATTGTTATGACCGATAAGAAATGCAAAATACATTAGAAGTCTTCGGCCCATGGAATAAATTGTCTATTTTCTTGGAAGGTGGTTTAAGAATAGTGATGCAGACCCAAGACAACAGACACCATAAGCTACCTTTGATAAGCAAGAACATGAAAATTATACACAAAATAGAATATACATTTTAGCAAGTCATTGATTGGTTAAAAGTAAACAAACTGAGATAACACAAAATGAAAAATGGGTCTTAATCACTAAATAAAAAAGTTGAAGCACAGCATGAATTCAAAGTTCGCTGCCACAATGAAAACAACCAACATATAAACAACATAACATCAAAAAGAAGACAAAGCATATATATATGTCTGCATTGTGCCTCAAAATTATTGGTATACATGGACATATGGACATAACTTGCGCACCTCAATTTCTGGATCAGCAAGAAGAGCAGCAAGCTTCTTGCTCTCCCTCTTAAATTGATCTTCATCAATTATAACCTATTAAAATCTCAAAAGTCATATAGATGTGAAATAAATAAAGGGAGGGACAATATACCATTGAATAACGAAACATCAAAATACTTACCTCAAATAGGTTATTGCTCTGCCTTCCATGAGGCAGAGTTTTGTTTACACGTCTTCCAGGAAAATTTTCTGATATAGTTGCTTTAGAGTTCAAATAAAACACTCTCGGAACAGTAATAGGAACCTTAAGCATAATTCCTTCAACAACAACCCAAGCAAAAAATTGGCCATTCTGTGAACCTGGAGTTAGCTGTATAATCTGAAACATAAAAGAAGATAAAGTGATCAAGTGCATTCCAGCTGCATTTTCTCCATGAAGAAAACTAAACTACCTGCCAATAGGAATTAGTTAGTGACACTTCATGTCTTCTAAAATATGAACCAACACCAGTTCTTCCGGAGGCATCTTTATGGTTTTCCACAGCACATGGCATCTCAGAAGTGTGACTGGCATGATGTGATGTTCGTAGATTACTCAACCTGCCAAAGAAAACGACACTTTTTTAAAATATATTACAACATTAAGAACTTTTTTATACATACACTACAATAACCACAATCCTAGACAAAGACAACAAAAACTAGAATGCATGCTTGAAAGTTATTCAACAAGATTGCATTCAATGAGTTTGAAGTGCAACATCCAACCAATGAGTAGAATTATGAATTTGCTTAAAATAAACATGTCAAATACAATTATATACATTTCGATATACATATAATCAGAGGAATAAGTGTTACTAAATGGAAGTTTTGGTTAAACCATAGAATTCAACCCATATAGATAGAAGAAGCAAAAAGCATGCATCTCTCTCGCACCAACTTTGCATTAGAAAAGTTCTAGTTAGTATCCATTCTCTTTTAATGGAATCAAGTAATGAGAAAAGATGCGACATGTGATAGACATTGTATCTGTGATCTATTTCCTCCAAAAAAATTATTGGTCGTACACAGGAGCTCAATGCATTTAATAAAGTAGTCTATATCCAGAAGCAACAAAATAACTACCTTTGTCTCTTCCTCTTTTCCAGATTATCTTTCCACTTCCTCTTCTTCAGTTCAAGCCATCCTTGATAGTCGACATTTCTGTCAATATTTTCAGTGGATTGAACAACTGGCTGCAATGTTGATGACAAATGTTGCTCACTTCCTCTATGATTAGTCTGATGTTGTTTTGTATTGGCTTGGACAGCTGCCTTGATTGGACCTTGATCCTTATGGACTTCATAACAACGAACAATTGGTATAGGTCCTTTCCCAGAATTTGCTCTTTTGTTTTGGAAGTCTTCCAGATCTCCAACCACGACAGTGGTGAGAACATCACCACTTGTCTTTTTCATTTTATCATCCCTGACTGATGAGCCAAAGATATCAACCAACTTCCTTTGACGGAATTTATCCTCCTTCTCACGGACCCTTTTATGCAGCCAATCAGGATGAGCTACCCTAGGGACAGGATTTGTAACCTAAAAAATCCAACTAATTTTAGTAGCCACAAATGGTGAGATTATTCTGGTAAGTGATACTAAAAGAATAAAGAAACCTTTTGCATTGCGGCAGGTATAGTTATAATTTTCTGAATCGCCGAGCTAAGCCGTTGCTTGTAGTATGACCAATCAACAATAGAACGTATGCCAACATCTGAAGAAGTTTTGCACCACTTGCGCAGATAGAACTTCATTATTTCTGTAAATTAGAAGCTGTTAGTTATTTCATTTAGTATACTATAAAGGGAACTGAGGTTACAAATAACAGTACTAACCAGTATCAGTTTCAAATATAGCAACAGGAATAGCACGTTCACTGACGGGTGTACCCTGCTCACATCACAATTAAGAATTCTTCAAAACAAAACATTCCAGGAATAAAATTTAAAAAAAAACAATCAAGTTCATGGTTTTGACTATATACAATATAGTTAAAGATCTAGAAGTAAGAACGTAAGAATAAACTGCCAGACCCCCTACATCATAAATAAACTATTTGCATGTACACAAATTCTTTAATGAAAGTCAGAACTGAATTAGTCGAGTATTTTGATCAATATGGCTTCAGAAATTATTGCTGCAAGCTTTCCAGAATAGGAAGAAATGGAGAGTCTTAACAATTTTGCTTTAACGCTAGGTTTATGGTTGCTTTTTCATGGAAAATCGGCTACTAAAAGGACTTTCAAATACCCTGTCTTTGCCTGTTTAGTTAGCATGAAAGTTTGAAACCTTGGATGGTAAGCAAAAGAATTATCTTGATAGGGCAGCATCAAGAAATAGAAAGGTATCCTAATAATGGCTCTCTTCTAGGAGCTGACAACCAAATGTGGTTGTTGACTATATTCCTATGTTTCTTTCAACATTGTAAACTAACTCTGATTGTTTCTCCATGTACAAATTAAGTATGATCTTATACTTGAAGTTTTGACATTGGTACATTTACAGAATTATATGAAATTCAATGCACTAAACGAAAATATTCATCATATTATCATACACAAAATAATAGAACTTACTCTTGGTTCACATGCCACTATATACTGGCAGTGCAGTCCTTTATCTTTAACCATAGCATCACCGAGAAAATCAGCAAGACGCTTTGCTGTGGTCACTGCACATGACTTTTGTTCACCATAATCTGCTAAAGACTTGCTCATTGTACTAGATTCCGATATGTAATCCAACAACTCACTATCCGCAATATCCTTTCCTTGACTCTGTGAGATAATAGGAATGTAAATAATATTTTATATAAAACAAGTTGCTTGGCCCATATTAAATTTATAAATAAAAAAATACACCAGTAAAATGGTAAAAATGATGATGGAAGACCAAATTTTAGCTTAAACTGTTCAATAAAAGTTTTCATACGTCGAGAAGATCAAGCCAGCGATTTGCAACAACAGCGACAGCTGAGTAACATTCCTCTAAGGTGGATCCATTAAGGAACTTATCAAAAAGCTCTGCCTGCAAAAGAGGAAGTAATTCACATCCAGAAAATGCCAATTTGGAAGAGAGAAGTCTTAACTCTGAGAATATAAAAATGACAATATATACAATAATTAACATAATACAAACAGTTAAAAACAAAAACAAAAAATCAAAATTTAAATAAGAGAATAGACAAGTAAAATATATGTACTCATTCATTGCTGGCATGTATCTAAGCTGAACAAAAAATTGAAAACATCTGTCGAGTTTTCTAAGACCCAAAGCATTCAAATACAAAGAATTGAAAATTCTATTTTATCTTGAGCTTATTACATAAGTTATATAGAGTTATCTTTGACATTATGCACACAAACATATATGCCACGTGCTGCACCAACAAATAAACATAATATGATGAAGTGCAAGAACTTAATTCCTAAAAATCATAGTCCCAATGGTTGAAGCATTAGTTTTTGTTATATCAGCAAAAACCATCTCAAGCTGCATACAGTAAACTGGGCATATTGAAGAGAGTGGGTACCTGGAAAACTTTGATGAGTTTCAGCTCACCTCTACGCTTAATCTCAAAACCTTTAAGTTCCGCAAGGGTTCCATCATCATTAAAAACAGCATATCGTTTCTTAATTAATATTCCCTCTTCCTTAGAGGCAGGTATAATCATTGCCTAAATCACATAACCAATTTGAGCCCTCAGAAAAATAAAGCAAAATTTAACATTGAACTAGAACTTGGTTTTCAGTAGTACCTTGTATGGACCATCTACTTCAAATTCAATTGAGCATTCACTATGAGTCGCATATGTTTTATTGACAGGATCCACAAGTTTCTGTCAAAGAACATTACTTAGATGTTGAACAAAAAATAAAATTACTTCAAAATACCAAAACTGCCAAAATGCATTTGAAAGAAAATAGTTTAAACATAGATATAGAACAAAGCTCCATGGAAACCTGGTATTGATCATTTGTATTATTTCTTGCCACATCAACATTAAGCATAACACACGGATAAGAGATAGTCAGCTTCTTCTTCAAGTCTCTAACAAACAGATTGTGCAGATGATGATCAGAATCTTTAATAAATCATGTAAAAGAAACAACATATGCTCTCCAAATGAAATCTAGATTCATATTTCATTTCATAATTAATTAAACTGAAAATTCTGGAGTACAGCTCACTTAGTTTTAAAAGTAAAGTTTTCTGGAAAAGACCCAGGAAGCGCACACCAGATACCATCTGTGTCTAATTCAAGTGGCTTCCCAATTTTTTCAACAAGTAAGCGAGCATTCTGAATGATTTTAGCACCAGTGTACGTAACTACACCGGCCATTTCCATAGAGTACCATCTCGCACCTCTGCAGCAGACACATTTAGAACATTACTCTAAGCATGATAGGTATGTTCTTTTTTCTAAATACTATATTCAAAACAAGTAGTCAACCAAGTCCAAATCCACATCCCACCCAAAAGGAAAAAGAAAGAAGAGTTACAACTTACCCACATCTCATCCCACACAAAGGGAAAAAGAAAGAAGAGTTACAACTTACTTGCGCATGACATATCCATAGAATGAGTTCAGTATACACTTATGGGCAAGTTGTAAGGAATCATAAAGCACTACCATGTCCTGAAAGTTATTCAGAAGAAACAGAAAAACCATAAGAAGTTGATTTGATTATAACAAATTGACTATAATGGGAGACAAATTGAAGAACATTTAGCATACTTGTGCTTCTTGAATCTTTATAGAGTTTCCACCAGCCTTAGCTTCAGACAGCTTCCCTTTCCAGACCTTATTAAGTCCTTTGTATTCATACCTTCTATCTCGAAAGCTTGAACATGGTTAAAGGAAATATGATTTAATAAGAAACCAATTTATTCAAGGTCGCTTTTAAGTCAACTTCTTGCAATTAGAAGAACTGAATAACAATTACAGATGACGTTTACAGTAATCATAATCAATCCAAGATGAGAAGAACTAAATATGTATCACCCGGAAAGAACAAGGAAAAAGCACTAGATATCAACATAGCTTGTACGAGAAACAAAATAGAAATGATTATGTTGTGGTCAAATTTAGCATATCAAATGTATGACAGGAAAATATAATAGCTTACCTGCGAACTGTGTCAACGTAAAAAGGGTTTTCACGCATACAAATCCCTGCTTCTCGAAGTTCGGTGACTGGCTTGTCCAATACCCGTCTATATACCTAGAGAAGACACCAAACCCAGTATGTGAACTATTACTCAAGCAAACATGCTCATAGAAACAACACTAACTTACCTTCTGACAATATTTCTTCAAACGGTCTTTCAGCCTGGACTGCTGCTCTAGTTTAGGCAGATCAAGAAAAGATTTTGACAGCTGACTATCAGTGCCATCAAAAAATTCAGACTCAATTTGCTTCTTCAAGTGGTAATAATCACTGAAAACGTTGAAAATCATGTTCATGTACAGGTGTCAGTTAAATTTTACAAATTCTACAAGCAGAAAGCTACTAAGTAAGAGAAGCAAACCTTTTCTTTGCCATGAATGTCTCTCCACGCCAAACCCATTCAAGTTTCCGGAGGCAAGACTTGTCCGGACGATTGAAATCACATGCAGTACAGACCTCATCTGTAACTATTGATGGTGGCTGGAATTCAACAAGAAACACCTCATTACATGTTAGCTAATAAGAAACTTCTAAAGGAATCCTTTTTAAATGAAATGAAAACAATACCTCTCATCAGAAGCACAGTATTAAAAAGAAATGAACTTGTGTAAGCACACAGTATTTAGTTCAAACATTTAACACTGTAGGTCAGCATGTCCATGCTATTATGTCATGTCACTAAATAGCTCATATGCATGCACAAATCAATTCTTTCCATGCTACCAAAATTGGAAAAGCTCAGTAAAACCCAAAATTAATGAAAAAAACAGTATCATCAAGATGCAGCAAAATCTATTTATTGGTAGCAAACCTGAAGCCGATTTGTCAAAATAATATTTGGGTACATTGCAGCAACATCCAAATGATAAATGAGAGGGCATTCATCACGGATAGGTTCATCTCGTAACTTCACAAGCTGCATAAAAAGAAATAATACACAAATAAAATTATCGTAGCCTAATGATATGATAAGTATAAACTGTAAGCATTTAAAATCTTCAGAAAAAAATCTGAAAAGAAACCAATGTATATATAATGAGAATAGTGAAGGTTTGGATATAATAAAGAATACAAATTAATCAGTTTACAAAATTGACTGCATACATGATTATAAATCAAAGAGAGACCTTGAAAATACTAATATGTAAAAGTTAACTTTGAAGAAACTGTAAGGAAGCAAAATATAACTTGGAAGTTGCAGCATGACTACAAAGGCAGCAACCAGAAACATGGACATCAGGCTCAACCAAAATAAAATCATCACCTTTTCTATTATCTCATTCTTTACTTCATCATAGTTCAAGACAGATTCCAAGTCCATCTTCCCCTCAACAATAATAGCATATTGTAGATCCCGGTCAAGATTACTGATCAGTTGCTGGATACAAAGTACACAAATGTTAGCAAATAAGATTCATAAAGTTTACAACTCAGGATTGAGAATACATATTTAGAGGACGGTGAACCAATAATTCTTCTAAAAAATCCATGATATGTCAACATTATTTTCTACAAATTTCTATGACATCAACAACATGAGAAATTGATTAGAAACATTAAAAGAAATGCATTTTTCAATGTTCTTACGACTTCCAACAATTTCAAGTCTCTGAGATTCCATAATTATTTTACAGGAATTAAGTAAAATATAATTGCATAACCTTAGTCTAAATAGACTTAAATAGTAAGAGTTCAATATACATGGTAACTCCGTCCAGAAACATATGTGTGTGTATTTAGCCACTTAATGGTTTATAAAGGTAATCTGCTGCATATATCGAGATGACTTCTGGCAAGCCATTGTCCTAGAGAACCAGAAAACTCTTATATCAAGCCTTCTCCTACATTATATACAACTAACTAAAAGGTACTATGGTCAACAATAGAAAAATACAAGACCCTTGAAAACAACATACCTCATAGCCAGATGGATCAAGCTTAAAGCTAGTTGGAATATCAGATCTGAAAACACCACTTTCAAGGCATTCCACATGGCCACCTATATAGGTCTCACTCTCAAGAAGGTGATTCTTATAGAACTTTTCAGTCTCTGATTGGTGTTTGTTAGGGCAGACTACATTTGCCTTGTACGCCTGTGAAAATGCAATATCTTATTAAAATGCTGAAAAATAGAAACACATTTGTTCAATGAAGAGGAAACAAAGTTTAGTACAAATATTCACTAAAACTACCTGAACCATCAGAAGCATTTCACAAAGTGTCCCACTTCCTTTGCGCAGAACCTCATCAGGTGACATGGGAATAATAGTAGCCAGAGAGAAAATAAAGGGATGAACATAGGTCATGTACAAATAATAAGTTGCAACAGCATCAGAAACAGAATAGGATGCCATCATCTGTCATAATATTGCCAGCAATCAAACAGAAATTGAGTGAGAAGAATTCTAGAAAAAGACATGCAGAATATGCAAAACTCTGTGCCTTAAAGATGTTTGCCAGAAACTTAATGAGTGACAGAATATTTCATTAACATCAATATCATATAGTACTACATCCACATCATAGCAGTTTGACAATAACTAATCACGCCCATAAATTCGGTCATCCTAAAGTAGCAAGCAAACACTCATTTCTGTAAAGTTCTCCTATTCTATCCTTCAACAATTCCCACATCATTTGTAACCATCTTCATTTATAAAATCCAAAACAAGAAAGAAAATGGAAGATATATATTTTAGCCATTTATACCTGGGGCTTTTCCATTGCAAATCGAACCATATCCTCTGGATTCACCTCGAGTGGATCATAACCCAGCTTTGCCTTTGTAACAGCCTAACATATTATCACAAGAAAGGTAGCCATCATAAGTTTTATGAAACATATAAGACTAAGTTTAATTGCGGACCTGAAATCATTATACCTATAATAAACTTTAATGTAACTAATAAATTTATAGTCCATTGCTCAAAGAACAAAAGATCCAGAAATTTAATGCCTTAGGAGTTCTTTAGAACAAGGAAATTTAGTCGCATGACTTCTACCCAACAAAATTAAACATAATGCATTTTTTCCTTTTCCAGAAAATCATTGTATTTCTTCACATGACTGAGAAATCTTAATTTTATCCTGCAAATTAATTGCCCAAAACATTAATTTAAGGACTGGATGTATCATGTGTAAGTGTACTAACAGTTATGCAAACATTAAATTCAATTTATTTAGGAAATAATGTGGCCAAAACCTGGGTTATGCTGTTGTAACATCACAGCATTACCTGTTGTCTCTCAGTAAGGCATGGAAAATAAGTACCATAAGTTAAAGAGATTATAATTATCGGTTTAATAAAATTACTTCACAATAATAAAATTGGATCTGAAGAAAGTAAAAACATGAGTGAGAAAGTTAGTGAGAGAGTGAGCGTGGCGCATGGTATTGGTTCTTCAGACAGAGGCGGAGCACTGCCTGGCGAAGGAGTATGGGTAGCTTTCATTGATAATCTTAGCAGGAGAGTTCATAGAAGTGTTTTATGGGAGCGTTTTAGTTATTTCGGCAAGGTGATTAAAGTATTCATTCCGTTTGTTAATAGAAGGCCAAAGTACAAGGACTACACATTCGCCTTTGTGCATTTTGCAAGTGAGGAGGATCTGTTCAATGCAAAGGATAGGATGAATAACGCTGTGGTAGACGGTAGGAGAATATCGGTGTCGATTGCAAAATATCAGAAGAGAGGCGTTCAGAGAGGCCGTGAGCAAGTTCCTGGAGTGGGGTCAGGAGTGGAAAGAGAAAAGGAGTCGAGTGGGAAGAAGAGATCAATAAGCCTTGTTGAGACTAGGAAGAGGGAGTTGCTTAGTAAATTTCATGATGGAAGATCTTACAAGGAGGCGGTAGTGGGAAGGGATATTATGGAGAACCAGCAGAGGAATAGTGGTTGCGATGTGAAGGGGGGTAAGAAGACTTTGGATGTGCATATTCCATTGGAAGAAAGAACTTGGTTAAGATCATCTCTAACTGGTATGTAAGCATATTTTCGAGGTGGAGCTTGTGCAAAGAAGTTTAAGGACTGAGGGCTTCAATGTCAAGGTGGTAAGGTGGGTTTTGCGAAAAATGCCTGTCTGATTGTCTTTCAGTCGGTGGAAGAGAAACCGCAGCGGTGAAGGATAAATGGGAGGCACTGTCTTTTTGGTTCGAAAGGCTCGACCTGTTATGGAGGAGAAGGGTGTTCCTTTACTTTCTGTGCAGTTTCATTGATGGTGTCCCTCTGAACTTTGGTCAGTTTCCTTTTTTTCTAGCTTGGCAGAGAGATGGGGCAAGTTAGTAAAGATTCAGGATCAAACTGCTCAAAGAATGGATTGCAGGGTGGCTCAATTGCTGATAAGAGTGGAAAGTCCATTTGATATTCCGTCCCAGGTAGTCATTAATACATATGGCAGATCATTTATTATTAAAATCAAAGTGGAAGGATGCGATGAGTTTTTTCCGGAGCTGGATGATGGAGTGGAGGAAGCCGGTTCTGTGGAAGGACGAGTCGGCCCGGGGGAAGAAACTCATTCGGAAGGGAACATAGGAGATGATAGAGAAGAGTTGCAAGGACAGTTGAATTTTCAGTCGATGTCAGGTGCCTTTCATGGGGTTGACACGCTGTTTGATGGCAATTTGAATTTAAAAGTGGAAGTCAATGATATTATAGGGACTGTCCAGACTGAGCAGGAGACAGTACTAGGTGAGGTTAAAAGTATGAAGAACGTGTCAGAAACCCTTTCTGCTGAGAGAAAAAGGTTGTGTAGTTTGGGAGGTGGATCCTCGGGGCAAGATAAAGGTGTTAAAGACTGGGGGATTAACCCCAAAACGGGCAGATATGTGGAGATTGGGCCTGAGCAGAGTGGGTATATTTCTTCAGCCCAAGGTTGTCCTGTGGATAATGAAAATATTTTCCAGGACCAAACTCTTTTCCAAACATATGTGGAAAATAATAGTTTCATGGGGGAGGAGGTGAAGGAAAACAACAAGGAATTGGAAGAGTGGGCTAAGGGTGGTAAAGAACGTAAATCTAAAAAGGCTGTTAGCAATCCAATGGGGGAGAGGTGTAAGAGATGGAGAGTGGGATATCAGGTTTCGAAAGGATTGTCAATTAGTAATAATTCTGAAGGTGTGAGGGGTTGTGGACGTATTGATAGGGTGTACAGAAGGTCGAAAACAAGAAGAGTATGGCTATGTTCAGAAAATAGCCATAAGCACAGTCAAAACAGGCTGGTTCTTCATAATTTTAAGCAATTTTATTCAGTTTCAAAGGATAGCGGCCAAGTCAAGGAGTTAACAGGTTCTGGGCAAATTCAGAATACTTCTACGGGGCATATGAAGAGCAGTTCTTCTCCAACCAGGGGGGGCAGACCCGTCTATTATTTCAAAGAGTCGAAGATTGTACAGAAAGAAGAGAAGAGGCTTAATTGCAGATGCTTTGGCAAGTGCAGAAGTGTCTACAGTCTATTCTCGGTCCTTCTCTAAAGTTTTGGAGGAAGCATTGTCTATTTGGGAAGTTTGTCAGAGTTTAGGCATTTCTTTTAAGGAAGGGAGGGAGGCTTTCATGGATAAAATTAGAATGATGGAGGAAGGAGCAGGGGTGGTTAATGAAGCAGGTCAGTGAGCCAGTTTCTGTGTCCTGCAGGTTTCGGTAGGAAGTGCATATGATGGAGTGCAATCTTATTTCGTGGAATGTTAGGGGATTAGGTAGGAAGGAAAAAATTAGAGGGGTGTCGAGACTTGTTAATAAGATTAAACCGGTTATATTGTTTTTACAGGAGACTAAACTAAATAAAAGTCAGAAGGGATTGAAGAAGAAGTTAGGAGGAAAGCTATTAAAGGGAGCAAGTATTCAGCCAGCGGATGGGTCCGCTGGTGGACTGATGTGTTTGTGGAATGATGATGTTTTTTAGGTAAATGAGGTGGCCAACCATAGTAGATTCCAGATGTTAAAAGGAAGGTTCAAGGTGTCTAAAACGGAGTGTGTTTTTATCAATGTATATGGCCCATCGGTTGAGGAAGAAAAGGAGGAGTTTTTTAGTCAGCTGTTGAGTTTTGCGCATTCGGTTGATCTGCCTCTCTGCATTGGGGGAGATTTCAATGCTTATCTCGAAATAGAGGAGAAGATTGGTGCCTCTCAAAACTGGCATTCAATGGGCCTGCTTAGGAATTTCCTACAAAATTCAAATCTAATTGACCTCCCTTTGGTAGGTGGCACCTTCACATGGGGTAGTAATAGAGAGGTTACCACATGGGTTAGGTTGGATCGTTTCTTGTTGAGCAGCAGCTTCTTAAGTTGCTTCCCCAAGGTGGTTTAGAAACTTCTCCCTAGATCTCTTTCTGATCACAACCCGATTCTATTGGCGGAAGATGGGAAGAATTGGGGACCGAAACCATTTCGGTTTTTCAACTATTTGATGGAGGAGGATGGCTTTGTAGATATGGTTCAAAATGTAGTGTCAGATCAGGCCAACGATAGAGGGGGAAGCAGAATGTTCAATTTATTAAAAGGAACCAAAAAACGTATCAAGGAATGGCCAATCAGAAGTAAACAGGGGATATCGGAGGCTATTACTGGGTTAGAGAGTAAAATTTATGATCTGGAAATTAAGGCACAAAGCAGTGGACTATCTTCTTCGGACTGGGAACAGCTTCTATCTTCCAGAAATGAGCTATGGAAATTGTACAGAATCGAGGAAAGTATTTGGTTCCAATTGTCGAGACAGAAATGGATTAAAGACGGAGACAGAAACACTAGGTTCTTCCACCTATGTGCTGTTAACAGAAACAGATTCAACTCTATTTCGGAATTGAAAGTGGATGGGGAGGTGTTGACAGACCCAGAGGCAATAAAAGTTGTTGTCTCTCAGTTCTTCAAGAAAGCATATAATTCCAGAGATTTTCTAGAGGTAGACAACTTGAACCTGATTTTTGACATATTGAGAGAAGAGCAAAGGAATGGCCTCGAGGTTATTTTTTCAGAAGAGGAAGTAAAGGAGGCCATTTTTTCTTCGGACAGCTCTAAAGCCCCAGGCCCTGATGGTTTTACAATGGGGTTTTATAAGAAAGTTTGGCCAATTATAAAGGGGAATCTTATGAAGTTTATGGAGGATTTTTACTATGGAAGAAAATGGGATCATGGAGTCAATCATGCGTTCATTTCTCTGATTCCAAAGAAAGGCAATCCGGAATGTATTGAAGATTACAGACCTATAAGTCTAGTCGGCAGTCTCTATAAAATCGTCTCCAAGGTTTTAGCAAGGAGATTAGTTTCGGTGATCCAAGATATTGTGAGCCCTTCACAGTTTGCATTCATTCCGGGGAGACAATTACAAGATTGTGCTTTTTGCAAATGAAAGTATAGATAGTTGGCGGAAGCGAGGGCTGAAAGGGTGGTTTTCAAGCTGATTTTCAGAGGGCTTATGACACGGTTGAATGGCCAATTATTTTTAGATTACTGAGAGTCACGGGTTTCGGGGAGAGATGGGTTTCCTGGATAGAATGTTGCCTCTCTACGGCGTCGATATCGGTATTAGTGAACGGTTCACCTACAGAGAAGTTCTCGATGGCCAAAGGATTGAGACAAGGATGTAGTTTGTCTCCTCTATTGTTTAACTTAGTGGGGGAACTGTTAAATCGTATGTTGATGAAAGCGGCGGATGTGGGATTTTTTCAGGGTTTTACTTTTGGAAGGTCGGGTGCCCTCAGTCTAACTCACCTACAGTTTGCGGATGACTGATGTTTTTGCCGAGACTCAACTTCCTACATCCTCAATATTAAAAGAGTCCTGAGAACTTTTAGCATAATGACTGGCCTCCATTTGAATATGTCGAAGAGTAGTCTGTATGGAATCAATGTGGAGGGCGAGGTATTAAATGAATGGGCTAAGGAGATTGGTTGTGATGTTGGGGTTTTTCCAGTAGTGTATCTAGGGTTACCAGTAGGTGCAAAAAGGAACTCAGAGGCTCTTTGGGAGCCAGTCATACACAGTTTCAACAAAAAACTAGCCGGATGGAAAGCTTCCTCACTTTCTATGGCGGGGAGATTAGTGTTGATCAAATCAGTTTTATCCTCCCTGCCAATTTTTTTCCTCTCTATTTTCAGAATTCCGAGTAAGGTCTATAGGAAACTAAATTCTATTATGGCAAACTTTCTGTGGGGGGAGGGTTCTTCAAAAAGCAGAATTCACTGGGTGAACTGGAAAAGGGTTTGTCTTTCCGTAGAGGAGGGTGGGCTGGGAGTCTTGGATTTGAATTTTGCTAACAGAGTACTACTAGGCAAATGGGTATGGAAATTCGCTAATGAAAAAGACTCACTATGGAAGAACATGATTTGCAGTATACACAATGCGAGTACTATGTCTTTAGACCTTAACAAGGTAATCTCTCTTTCGGATTCTTGGATATGGAAGGGGATTACAAGAAATTACTTGGCAGAGGACGCAATTGGAAATGGTTTAAGATCTCACTCGAAGATACAAGCAGGTAATGGAAAGTCGATTGTATTTTGGCATGATGTGTGGCTAAATGAGGAATCCTTAAAAAGTCAATTTCCGAGAATATATGCTCTATCCAACAATAGGTGGGGAAAAGTTTCAGAGTTTGGAAGTACAATAGGCAATAAGTGGATTTGGAACATTCAAACGAGAAGAAATATCTGTGACTGGGAGATGGAGCACTGGATTCGACTGATGACACTATTGGAGAATGTGGGGCTATCGGAATCGGTGGATGATTTTTTGGCGTGGTCGGGAAAGGGTCATGGATTGTTTACGGCTAAAGCCTGCAGGTTGACACTTTCTTCTAACTCAGGGGGCAGTCTCCCTTGGAAGAAATTCGTTTGGTCAGGTTTGGCCCCACCGAGAGTCGAAACTTTCTTATGGCAGGTTTCCCATCGAAGACTGGCAGTCAGATCGGAGCTGATAAAAAGGGGTGTTACGTTGGAGGAGGTGTCTTGCCCGTTATGTGCTAAGCAAGAGGAAACAGTTCAGCATTTGTTTATCTCATGTCAGGTTGCATGGGATTTATGGAGCAGTTTCTGGAGGTTATGGGGAGTTTCGACAGTTTTACCTAATGATCCAGCCTCTTTGTTGTGTTCCTGGTCGGATTTAAGGCCAAAGTCATTAATATGGGCCTTTATACCGGGGGTAGTTCTTTGGTCATTATGGAAGGCTAGAAATTCGGTGGTTTTTGATGATGGGAAACTGGACAAACCTAATCTTTTCTTCATTTGCAGATTTAGGTTGGTTAAGTGGTTCCTTGCTAAATACCCAAATGATTTCATTCAGGTTGATTCTCTTGTTAGAGACCCGTCGCTTGCAGACAAGCACCAGACAAGGCACCATAAAAGGGTGAAGGTTCAGGAATGGCTTCCTCCTCCACTACATTTTTTTAAGGTTAATGTTGATGGGGCGGTCAGTGGGGATGGCCTGTTGGGGGGAATGGGGGGTATTTTAAGGGACTCGGAAAGCAAAATCCTTGGGTCTTTCTCACTTGCTGTTGGTCCATGTCCTCCTCCACTTGCTGAGATGAAAGCAATAGAGAAAGGCATTGAATTTTTTCTATCGTCGGAATGGGCGACTCAAGGAAGGTTAATTATTGAGAGTGATTGTAAGACAGTGGTGGATTGGATCTTACAACCGATTTCTTCTCCTCCTTTCCTTAGGTTACTGGTTCTAAAAATTGCGTCCTTAATCTCGGAGAGGGCGATCATTATTAGACATATTCCGAGGAATTGTAATTGTGAGGCTGATATCTTAGCGAAACAGGGGATTGGCTGATCACACATCATAGTTTTAGAGCTCATTCAGTGGGGTTTTGGGTTATTGTGGTTGTAGGGGATGTGGTAGTTTCGCTATTGTATAGGGGCGGACTGGTTGTGATAATTGGTCTGTATTTTTTATGGTGTTTAGTCAGTCTGTGGGGTGTTTCTTATGTACTATGTTCTCTTGAGAAATAAAATCTTAAGGCACTCTTTTCCTCCCTTCACTGATTAAGGAACTTTCTCAAAAGTTCCTTTAGTCAAGAAGGGGGTTTTTAATGAGGCATGTAATTCTTATCAAAAAAAATTATCGGTTTAATAAATAATGTATATATCACCTAACAATAATGATATCAGTATGAGGTAGCCTGTAATATGAAACTTAAGATTACCCTTTGATGTTTATATATTAGCCATTTTATTCCATGGAAAAACTTGTGAAGATATAAGACATAGAGATACATACCTTCAATTCAACAAAAAAATTGCTAAAAAGATACAAACTACATATAAGAAACAAAATAACTCAAATTACATATCTGCACCTTGAGACCATGGCTCCCCTGAGGAAGATAACTGTCACGTTTGACCCAAGCAAAACAGTCCAAATGACAGGCAAACTTGGCTCGGCATTCCCCCTGATTCTTGTCACATTGAAACCCTAGCTCCTGCAAAAATCACCCAAAAAAGGAGTAACAAATAGAGGGCATTTAAAAAAATGAGTAAATGAACTGATGTTGAGAATACATACACCACTCATTTTAATTCCATGATATTCAGCTCTTCTTTCTATGAATGGCCAATCAAAATAATCACCATTATATGTAACAAAAATACCAGGCTTGACCTCTTGCATGTGGGTAAACCACAGCCGTAGAAGTTCTACCTGCAAGAAACATCAAAATAAATAGTTAAGGAAAGTAGGTATTGCAAGCCCCCATCAGAAGGATGTGTGAAACTTCTGCTACCTCATTTTTCACATTTTTGACACTGAAAAATCCTTGAAATTCTGGTTTAGGAGTATACTCTAAGTCCTCTATGTCTTGCCCTACACACTGCGGACAAGTGAAAAATCAGGTACTAAGTTGGAAGGAAAATAGAATACTATTTCTGAAACACATTTAATGTGGTAACAAATAGAGGGAAAATAGATAACAAACTCGAAAGTGCAAAAATAAATAGAAAGCAATAGATGACTAACAGAAACACATAAAACTAACCATTAATCATTGATGAATACAAACAACTAAGCAGTATATATTACAAACATGAGTTGGGAAACATTTGGGACCAAAAACAGATAAAATTGAATGATGATCTTTGAACAAATGACTAATGTAATAAAAAGGCCTCAGATGTACCTCTCTGTTAATAATCAGATATCCTTGTCCGTCAACCATGTATGATATCATCATTATTGAATCATACTCAGCATCTGGAAATTTCAAAGGAAGCTTTGTCGTCTCAATATCGAATGCACAGACACGTACTTCAGCACGTTGCAGAAGATCAGTCCTCTTCTCCAGCATGACTCCAGTACTAAATACACTGACATCATACCACTGCCCACATCTCACATCTGTGTTCCATAAAATCCTCTGAATTAGAAAGGGCATAGGTGCAATCTAACTATGAAAATAATTTAAACTAGCAGGAATAAGTTAAAAGAACTAAAGAATAAAGAAAGAAATTACCATTGTCAATGGCAAAACGAACATGGTAGGGGACATCATATTCACGGAGATCAACCACAAGATCCAAAAGATCTAGCGGTCTGTGTTCTCTGCAAGGAAAGCAAAACTTTGCTATCAAAACACACATGGAATTCCCATAAGTACATGGTGAATGGAATGCAAAAACTATGAGGTGCTGAAAGAGAGATGGGTATTGTTCTATTAACAGACCTACACAAAAAGCAAAGAGGAACTTGCCAAAGGACCATAAGCCTTACCTGTTGCCCATTAATAACGACTCATATGCTTCAGCAGCATCAAATTTTGTCCGGTTTCTTTCAACAACATGCACTAGATCTCTCTTCACATCCATCAATTGTTGAACAGTATCAAAAGATATTTTTAGATAACGTTTGTGTAGACCAGACAAATGGTTTTTCTGTCCATAAGCAAGTGAAGCAATCAGAACCCATTTGTTTGAAGAAATACAAATGAAATGAAAGCTATCTGAATCAAGCATGAAAAAACATAATGATTCATAAAATAATTTGTGATTCAAATAAGCATGATGATACAACAAAATAACCCGCTTGTAAAGGTATATGGAGGTAGGAATATGTCAATTATATAAATAAATGAATTTGAATTATGGGAAAGTATTTAACAATAATAGCAATATGCCTGCACCAAATAAAAGCTACAAATCACAACAATACAACATAATTCGAAAAGATGAAAAACTGAGAAGAGTAATCGAAAAGGGCAGGGCATGTAATGCTTCCTTTATTAAACTCTGACCGCAACTAGACCAAAAATGAGAAAACCAAATCAGACTAAGCAACAAAGAAATCAAATCAAAACATGACCAAATTCTCTCTTTGTCAAACCTACTGCTCAGACATAATTATATTTATCTATTAAGGACTAGTTTTATTTATGAAGCCAAATTCAAAGGTACAGGTGATAAAATTGCTCACAAGATCAAGATCTTCCTTCTCCACAATTTCAATCTCTGCAATTTGACTTTCATAACGTCGTCTCAAATAGGCTTCCACATCCATTTCTGCTTTGTTCTGTCAGAACACAATCACTCAACATGATCATCAAAGAATTAAACAACTACTGATTAGTTCATAGGGGAAAACACTACAATGAGAAATATATATAATGTACCTTTGCAGCAGCGTAAAAGTAAGGTCGGGATTTGAACTTTGACTTAAAACAAGAACCATCCTACATTTATGAAATTTAATCTCGTTTTATTTGAATATTGGATACGGAGAAGATGTTGTATTACCGAAGCGAAAGTAAGTAACCATCCGAGACGTTTTTCTCCTTCAGAGAAGAGATCAAATCCAAGCTTGGACTCGAGTTCCTCTTCTGCGCTACGGATTAGATTCTTCTGCTTCTTCGATCTCCGAAGGTCTAGCCGGTCCAGCCGTCGTTTATCTCCGCCATTCATTTTGCGCGGTGGCGTTTTCGGTTGCTCTAGCAACCTAGTACTACTTTTAATTATTTCAAGAGAAGTCTTCTACCTTCCTTCAAAAAGAATAAGAAAAGTATTTTACCAACAAAATCTCAGGCGGTGAATGCTAAAAGGGGGAAGGAGGGAGGAATAAAGCGTTTTCCCGCGCTTTTGTTATGAGAAACTAAATGACCCAAATGCCCTTGATTTATGGGCTCCAGACCCAATTATCTATTTAGGACCTCTTGTCCCTTTGACTTTGATCATTTTCCTTAAAGAGAAAATAATCTCAGTGACCGAAAATGATTTATAATATACGATTTTGACTAATTTTTTTTTGATTTGTCAAAATGACTAACAAAATCGCAATGCGATCTCTAAATCGCAACGCAATCTCCAGTATTGCAAATCAGTTTCCAGATTCGCAACGCAATTCTGACTATCGCACCGCGATAATACAAAATCGCAATGCGATTTTCAAAGCGCCATTAGTATCGCAACGCGTATTTTATTTTCAAATTCCAAACACGAATATTAATATATTCCGTAATCGCAACTCATAACCTAAAACCCTAAATCACAACTAAGTCTCATCTCCATCTCTCACTCTCTACGGCGACATCCGTCCCCATCTCCGGCGAATCCGTCTATCTCCATCTTTCAGAGCTACCCTCACAATCATTCACGGTCAGAAATGGAAAATCAACCAAATCAACCACCGAGGGTTAGTTTTTTTTAATTATTTTTATTTTGAAATTTTTTCATTATTATTAAGTTTTTCATATTGAAATTGATGATAAGTTTACTGGTAATTTCAATAAAAGATTAATCATTTCACTTAGATTGCTTATTAAATTCATTCGATTGCTGTCAATACTGCTAAACTGTTTAGTCTTTAACCCTGTGAAGTTAGTATTTGTCTTTGTTTTATCTTTTGATTGAAGTAATGCAATTCATTCAAGTTTCAATTTTAGACAATGACTATTTGAAACCGAGAATCGCAACGCGAAATGAAAATCGTAACGACAAAATCGCAACGCGATTTTAGTTTCTCGTTGCGATTTTCATTTCGCGTTGCGATTATCTCGTTGCGATAATCAAATTCGCGTTGCGATAGTCATTTTCGTATTGTGATTTTCATTTTCGTGTTGCGATTTTAAGTTTCAGAAACTATTATTCTTCTGCAAATTGAAACTTGAATGAATTGAAACTTGAATGAATTGCATTACTTCAACCAAAAACAAAGACAAATACGAAATTCACAGTGTTGCAAATTTAAGTTTGAATATAAACTACTACTACTCTTTATGTTTATTATTGTTTTTGGTATATCTTCACGTGTAGTTTTTATATCTAACTTGGTATGTGTTTTTGTTTTTGTATAACTTTTTTTCGGCTCAATTGACCTTAAGGAATAAAATAAGCCTAATAACTACAATTGCGTCGAAACTTTCACTTGTACAAAGAAAATTATTTGAGGATACTTGCTTCGGGCCATGGCTGAAAGTACAACTGTAACGCCCCCAACCCGTATCCGATCCGGATACGAGTCCGAAGTGTCACATTGACTTTTCAAACATTTATTCGTATAAAATAGTGGGTAATTTAAAAACTTGATAACATTTAATTATTTCAAAACGTTACAACATATCAGAGTTCATACCATTTATATCTTTAGACTACATGCCAACTACACTCTGTAAACAGTACATACATTTTATGATCTGACATTTGGTAAGGAGAACTGACCTGTCTTGCTCCGCATTACTCTTTATTCTTCTCGAAACCTACGTGTGAAACAATCACACGCTAAGTCGTTGACTTAGTGAGGCAATAATTAAACATATACAATATTCATGAACGTGCATTCATACCATTGAATCATGACATTTCAATATCATGTATCTATTGCATGATAACAATATATAATCATGTCATACACACACGCAACATATCTTGTATTACTTTCACTTTTCGTTTGTCTTCCAATTGCATTGCCAATGTATATTATTATCTTTATCAACATCATTATAATTCAAGCAACACATGACATATCACCATAAGTATATACATCACATATATCTTATACATTACATTCCATGTTATCTTTATTAGCCCATGTGCACCTGTGAGAACTGTAGATATGTGAGTCTATTGAGGTTGTGCACCACTATGCTGTCACCACAGCTATAAATGTCCCGAGGACCTATCCAGAGGTCACAGACCCCGGTAACTATCCAGAGGTCATAAAGATCCTCGGTAACTGTCCAGAGGTCATAAAGATCCTCGGTAAACTGTCCATATGTTCCTTAGAACATAGGTATACTGTCCATATGTCTCGAAAGACATAGTAAAACTGTCCATATGTTCCGTAGAACATAGGTAAACCCTCGACTCTTGGCATGCCAACTATACCCTAGCTCTCATATCACATAACATGGGCATTATCATTTATCATTTCATATCACTTGTATCACATATTGCATATTCATGTAATCATATAGATCATGTCACATGGCTTATATCATTTCTCATATTCATATATAGTTCACTTTCACATATCACATTTTCCTTTTCTCCTATTTTTCATATCATGTCTCTTATAACCACATATGTCTGTCTATCTCATATCCTATAATTCTTTAGCTTATATCTTATCACATGTTTATATCATAACTTAGTAATCACATATACTATTTATACTAGTTCACATAGCTTATTTCACTAACATGTATTCACATGTACATTTCACTTTTCGTATGATTTCATAATCATCTGTCACGTAGCTTAACACTTCTCTTGTGTTCATCTGGCATGTAACTCATTGTCATCTCTTATTCTCGTATGATTCTCATACACCAAGTATCACATAGCTTGTACCTATATATATTTTTCTCATAACTTATCATCACATAGTTCCCATAACATTTTCCTATAGATTCATAAATCTTTACCATATGACTCATGTATATGTTCATTTCCGCTCATATATCCTCTCTATATAACTTATTTACATATTCATATAATCATTTCTGTCAATGTCTCCTCATTTATATATCATTCTTATATTGCCCTATAAATCATGTTATTTAACTTATCTCACTTTCATTTAATCTCATAAGTTGGTTATACAATTCCTATATATATATATATATCTAACTCATGTAATTTATATCCTTTCTCTTGTTATCATATAAATCATTGCCATATAACACATATCATATAAATTCATACCACCTAACATGTAATACAACTAAACATATTCATGTAATATAAACATAATCATACAATCATATATTCAACATATTGGAAACAGACTTGTCGCAAGTCAAATTTCCATACACAATACGTATATTCTAATAGTACGCACACCTGGCCTCACTAGTCAATATCGATCTGTTATCTTTCCTTGATCGATCTTACTTGCCAAACGTTCCGGAGTTGCTTTATGCGTAGAATCTACATACATGTACATTTTGAGGCAATCATTAGATACCTACCTTGTAATTGGATACTAGCAATTTAAACGAACTTATTAAACCAATATTCACATTTTCCTTTAGGGGGAATCGGTTTCCCTACTATGGGGGTATCGATTCCCTCAGACATTCTGGAAATGTTGTTCGTTTGAAGGGTATCGGTTCCCCTTGAATGGGTACGATTTCCCTTGCCCATAAATCATATTTTCAACCCGAAATTACTTCATTTCCACTCAAACACTTCATATATCATCCCCTTTTCATTCTTAACTCTAGTACACATACTTAAACCAATCTATATTCATTTATTTCATCTTAAACATCAAAATCCTATTATCCATATAAGATTCAAAAATCATACCAAATTTTCAATGTGTTCTAATTCCCATTCTAACACTTCATACTTCTTAATTAGATTGATGACAAGTCAAATTCATCCATAAAACTTCAACAACCATACCATATCAAAATTTCATCTTAAAACTCATATGGCAAATTCCTTCATAATTCCTTTATCTTATTGTTTAAATCTCATATAAGCTTTCCTTAAGCTTATTTAATACCCAAAGAATCAAAACTAAGCTTAAAACTCAATAATTAACCAACTGAAATTAAACTTACCTTTGCCTTGCTCTCCCACGTATGAAGAAGAAGAAAGGAGAAGAACACTCTGGATGGTTCTCACATATCCCACATTTATATTACCTTAAAAAATATATAAAAATCCTTCTGGTCAAATGACCATAATACCCTTAATTTCCTTTAATAATTACCAAATAACCTTCAATATATATTCAAATAATCATTTAATTCCTTCATTCTTCTACTTTAGTCACCAAATTCTGAAACTTTACAATTTGGTCACTAACCCGGTATTACGGATGTTACAACAACATCCGGGTGGAGATGCTATGTTGACCCATTTGTGGCTTCAGACCATGACTAACGATCTACCCGAGAGTATAAAATATGGTAATAAAGAGATATGGTTTTATTTTCCACCGGCGTATACGTGTTTTGGGCGGGATGAGTTTTGCTTAATCACTGGTCTACGCTTCAGACACGATGATGTAGGTCGATACACTAGTCATATTACCCGCCCATCATGGTTATCCCGGGTTTTTCCTGAGCTATCAATGGAGAAGCCAAATTTACACGTTGACGATTTGACGAGATTATTTAATAAGAAAGATGGTTTTACTCGGATGGATGACGTCGATGTTGTCCGAGTATGCCTTTTAGTAGGCAGAGAGGCCATACAACCTATTCCTAAGAATCTAATATTATTGGTAGAAGACCTAAATGCATGGAACCTGTTTCCGTGGGGTTCGTATCTATGGAAAGCTACCTGGAATAAGTTGTCATCTGCCTTTGATGACCGAAAAAGTTTGCGTGGCGATGGTTCCAAATACACTTTGTCAGACTTTATTTGGGCCTTTAAGGTAAGAATTTATATATAATGTTTCCAAAATTATAATTAATTATTTAACAATTACTAATGTTTGTGTATTATATTATTTGTATATTTGGATATTTGAGGCTTTTCCCGGCATGTAGACATATGCATTAAAAACTTCAAATGATATTCTTAAGGCTATTTCCTGTAAGAGGAAACGGCGG